CATGCTGGGCTTCAACAACCCTGTGGCGGCGTCGATCGCGGTCGACGCGCTCTCTGCCGCGGGCGCGCCGGCCGTGCCGCCGCTGCTGCGAGGCGTAGCTGCCTTCAACTACGCCGTCAACGCGTACGCCCTGCGCGCCCTCGGCCGCATCGGAGACCCCGCCGTGCTGGACGTCGCGCTCGCCTGCGCGAGCCGCGGCCCCATTCCGAATGTGCGCCGCGCGGCCGTGCGCGCGCTGGCGGGGCTCAGGTATGACAACGTCGAGAACGCGGAGAAGGCTTATCGAGAGCTCCTCAGGCTGGCGGACGCTGAGCCGGATTGGGGCGTCCGGTATGCCGCGATGGCCGCGTTGCAGGCGTTTGTCATGGATGAGCTGGTCGGGAGCGCGTTGCTGAGGGCGGCCTTGGATGTGGTCGCGGCAGCCGCTGATGGCCGGTCGAGGGTGCTTGTGGCAGGCGGGGAGGGAGCGGAAAAGGAGCCTTTACCGGTTGATCCCACAGTTTGTGCGAGAGCTTTTGTGGCGCTGGAGGTTTTGACAGAGCGCATTGGTGCGCTGGTTGGTGTGTGACGCCGCCGAGGACGCGAGGCATACGATGCAAGAGTGAAGATGTGCAAAACTGGGCCTCCTGTGCGGGATTTTATTAGAGCTCGATCTTGTGCAGACGTGGAGGAAGGGTGGCGCTGTTCTGAGATGAAAAATCAGAGGCAGATGCGAACCAGTCGAAAAAGTCCTCTCTGCGTATGGCGACACCGGTTGGGCGGCCATCACGCCAACACAAACTGGGACAGCCGAGTGAAAAAATACATAAACAGTTATTCTATACAGGTAGACATCAGTCAGAGCTAGCCGGCAAAGCTCTTGGTGACGACGGCGGGGTGCACGACTCGTCGCTATCGTAACTGAGTGCCTTCTTCGCGATCATGGAACCGATGACCACTCTCAACAAAAACTTAACGCGAAAGGCAAGGTGTGATTCCTCGCTCGAGGGGACAAGATTTGTGTCGCGCCCGGCGCCCGTGCCTTCCGCCATGCGCAGCTGGCGCTGGCGCTCGAGGATGGCCATGTTCTCGACAATCTTTTTGCGAGCAACTTCGATGACATCTGCGGCGATTTCCAACGAGGCCATCGGTTTCCCAAGGGCGAGGGCACGCTGAGACATTGCGTCCAAGGCGTCGCGGTCGGCGAGCCATTCTGCGGCGATGGTGGCGACTTGCGAGGGCTTTTTCGCATGCGCGCCAACCTTCTCACCGACAACGTACTTGACGTTGGCTTCCTCTTGGCCAGGAAGATATCCTGTGATGATGATGGGCAAGGCGCGAATGAGGGCTTCCGCGATGGTACCCGGGCCCGCCTTCGTGCAGATGATGTCGCACGCGCCCATCCACTCGCTCATGTTATTGACATAGCCCAGCGGGATGACGTCGATAGCCCAGGTCTTCGTCTCCAACCATTGCTTGAGCTGGCTGTTCTTCCCGCAGATGACGACAAGCTGGAGATTTGTATGGCCAAGCTTCTTCGGCAAGTCCGCGGCGAGCGTATTGGCGATCGCCTTCAAACCGCCGACGCCGTCACCGCCGCCAATGGCAAGCACGGCCGGGACGTCGGGGCGCATGCCCAGGCGGGCGCGCAGGACGTCCTTCTCCGGGGCGGCGGTCCAAAAGTCGTGCCGCACGGGCAGGCCGAACTGGCGCATCCTCTGCTCCGGGATACCGACGCGTGCGGCAACTGCGTGCACACCGGGCGACGGGACGTAGGTCATGTCGACAGCGTCGTGAAACCAGGTGGGGTGGGCGCCGCCGAGATCGGTAACGACGGTAACGTAGGGCACGGGCGGCAAGCCCGACCGTTGGTTGAGCTCGTGCAGGACGTGCTGGCTGAGGGTATTGACGAGCGGGTGGACGCTAAGAATCAAGTCCGGGGCGTACTCGACAAAGGCGTCGCGGATGCGGCGGTGTGCAAAGGCGTTGAAGAAGGTCTCCGTGGC